GTGGGTCCCTTCCAACTCACAACATTCAATTTAGGCGGAGAAATGATTAATATTATAAATGTTGATGCCAAGAAGAAAGGCAAAGTGCCCATCTCCAAGTAAAAGAGCTGGTATGATCACGGGACATTCATCTGGTCTGACTGTTTAGACACCTGTATTTGTAATTATCTACATCTGAACTGTTACTGGAAGCCGTAAGTAAGTGGGAATACATTGCCATAGTCAGCGGAGTCTGACGTGATTCCTTCTGTCCTGGAGCAGATGTCTAAATCAGCTCAGATGAATCCCACCCTACATGACTCTGTTTTTTTCTCACTTGAGAACAAAATGTGTTTAAGATGGTTCTGTCAAATACAGACATCTAAAATATCGGTGAAATGAATCCCACTCTTAGTGTCTAGTGCTGTGAACTAGAAAGATGAGCAATCCATGTGAGATATTAAGGCTTAAATTTGAGATGTCGTCTGTCCTCAGAAAATACACTGTGCTCAGGTAGGAGGATGAGGGGATACTTAAGATTTTTATTTTCTTATGTAGTTTATTTTTCCTACCCATCCTCCAGGTTCAATAGAAAAAAGGCATTTGGGTTCACTTATTGCCTTAACGTATTAGAAATTGTCGCTGGGCTCTATAAAATACTTCATTATGTCCTAGAATGGCAGTATTTTACTTGAAAAGTTTTTTTCTACTATATGGGGAGCTTAACTATTTTTTTTAAAGTTATTGAAAAGAGACTCTATGTCAGTGAGTCAAAGCAACCCAAGAGTATCCGAACAAAACCAGAGTCTGCTAATCACGTTGCTTTTCTTAGGTTCTTGGGATGCTTTCCATTATGATATAACAAGTGGCTGGTTTAGGTTCTTTTAATAGTATTTTTTTTTCAGTGCATTAACTGTATCTCTTAGAAGTAATAGCGTGAAAAGAGAGGAAAAAGGTCACACTAAATAAAAATAGATTTAATCAAGGATGCAAATTATTTAACATTTATTATTAATAAAAAATAGATTTACCTTGGTATGCATTATTGAAAATCTGCGTAGTTCCACTATGTCAAAACAAAGCATTCAATGCCAGGAAGTTTCAAAATCTGGAATACAGAATTGCACATAAAGCCCAGATTGCACTGATCCAAGCCAGCAAAGATGTACATCCCATCCTAATGAACATTCCCCATATTTTCTAACAGAGCAGCTAAGAATGCAAATTACTTTGAAGTGCATTAAATTAGTTAAAAAGAACTCCAAAACTTTTTAAGAACATACGCCCCCTCCTTCCCCCCCCCAATACTTTGGCTGTTGTATTCTGGTGTATCTAAGGAGCCAAAGTTCTGAACATTTCCTTTCTAGGGCCAGGAACTTGCTCCTATATTTACTTTCCTCCCAAAATTTTGCATGAGCGGCGATAGCCTTTGTTCCTTGCATTTGGAAAACTTGTCTTAAACACACAGGAACTGCTCAAATAAAAAGAAACCACCAAAATTATGAACATTTTCTGTGTTTAAGTTTGCACGCACAGTTTTTTTCCCCGCAGAGGTGAATATCAGCAGTCGAAAGAACAGCTTCACCTCCTGGGTGATCACCAGAGCATTGAGTGTGACATTTACTGTAGTGCTTCACCAGTTTGGAGTGAGAAAAATTCCTTCATTTGGGCACCTCCCAGACCCTTTGCTCTGCCTCGTTAGCACTACCGGACACTGATGGGGGCATGAGGAGGGCAGGGTACGAGGAGTCCAAATCTTCAGCAGGCAGCTGTTGAAGCTGTTGCGGTGGTTCTGCTATCCGTGCGTTACTGACACCACACGAGTTCATCCCCGTTGCTAATACTGTTTGCCTTGATAGCAAATAAACTTAATCTGAATTAGTGCCATCTCAGTGAAAGTTAATGAACGCCATCTGGATACCAAAACTAATTATCTTAATATTATGTTACTCTTTGAAAGGATATACAGCAAGTTGAACTGAGTAGATCTGGTTTTATCTTCTGTTATCTTCTTCCTGTACCTTTGCAGACTAAACTGATGGTGAACCTGGCAAAGCATACTGTGATAGTTACACTGGGAGCACTGGGCTGGCAGCCAACACCCACTGCCCCCCACCCCCAGGGGACAGGGGAGAGGACCTGAGGGGCAAGGACAAGGAGACTCGTAGGGTGAGATAAGGACAATTTAATCATGGAAAGAAAAGAAAACTTAAAATAATACTGATATTAAATTAGTAGTGATAATAATAACAGTAACAAAATATGGCAATGAGTGACACCCAGTGCCATCGCTCACCACCCACCGACCCAGCCCGGCCCGTTCCCAGATCACGATCCTGCAGGAGCCACAATCCCAGGAGAGCCAGAGCCCGAGCCAAAGCCAGAGAGAGCAAGAGAGGAAGAGCCCCTCATGGATCTCCTGCCCATGGGGGACGGGAGATGGAACAGCCCCTTGGCAGAGCCCAATGCCCATGGAGCTGAGTCAGGTCAATATTCCTCACCCCTGAGATCTTGCGCTTGCAGACGGACAAACACAAAGTCCTTCCAGTGACAAAAATGCAAACACAGGGATGGTATCAGTATTTCTCTCATAACAAATCCCAGTTGGAAAGCAAAATGCAGCACTATTCTAGCTACTAAAAAGAAACCCAGCTCCGTCCCAGCTAAAAACCAGAACACACCTAAACCACTTGAGGTGCTTGGCCATCAAAGCTCCACCAAAAGTCAATGAAACTTCAGTCCCTAAAACCCACAGACGCCTCTAGTAGCAGAGCTCAAGAGGCAACCACGGCCACTGGTTGCTCAGAGGGTGCCCACCAGGTTTGTCCTCCTGGACACACAGAATTCAAGGGCGGAGGCTGTAGTGACCATTCCTGTGCTCAGCAGGTGTGGGGGGAACAGCGCAGGATGAGTCACCTTACACCACTCACACTCCTGCTCCTGGATGCTCCAGCTGCCTGAGGCACTTAAAATGGCCTGCGTCTAATTTTCCAACTTTTTAGCCATTTAGCACAGGGAATGGAAATTCTGGTGACCTCCAACATTTGCTTTTATTTATAAGACTATCTTGTCCTGCTAAGTTCTTTCTGTTTCCTTTTCACAGAAATGCATTAGCAGAGGGGAGCTGCAAGTCTCCTTGTCCTACCAGCCTGTGGCGCAGAGAATGACTGTTGTGGTGCTGAAAGCCCGACATTTGCCAAAGATGGATATCACTGGCCTCTCAGGTAGAAGCTATTTTCTCCAGCTCTAAACGTGTAGGAAAAAAAATCTCCACTCTCAGATCTTTTCACTTGTCTTATCTGAAGATTTTTTTTGTTTGCAGACTTTTCCTCAAACTCTTTCTAAGCTTGATTGATCCATCCCTCACCAACAGATGGTCATACAAACAAGACCAAATCCTTCCTACTGTGAGACCAACAGTTGCGTCTTTCTGGCATCACCTGGTTTGTTTATGCAGACAATATTTCCCAAATGCAGCAGATCTCCGTGTTGCTTTTGGCCAGACTCTTGCAGGTTCTGTGCCTGCGTGCTGCTGTCACTCATTGTCGCAGCATTTTTTTTCCACAGCACGACCGCTGCTTGCTGCATCTAACTCAAACCCTGCACCTAGAAGAGGAGGATAAAAGAGAGCAAGCATAAAAAAGAGGAGGGTTAGACTCAGAATAGAGAGTAGTAAATTCATGTGACATTAGAAACAATTTTTTTTTCTTTTTTGTTGTTTCTGCTGGTTTTATTGTTCCGCTATTTGAAGAGGAGAGCAGCTGTTTGGCTTTCCTATTTCACAGTCACAGCTTCTTAGGCTCCTGAACCTCCTTAACAAAGTTCCCTTCAGGATTATGGGCAAATGGTTGGAATCAACTTGAGATTCAATAATAGCCTGACTGATAGCAAATTTAGTCCTGTTTTTGTAGCTTTCTCCTGTACGCCTCAGAAAGAATGTGGACTAGGCTTAATTTCTCTATGGTAGGCCTTAAATTTTACTTTTTCTTTAAAAAAAAAGCTTTCCATGTGTGGTCTCTAATTACGGGATAAATTTTTCAGTAATTGTTCTGCCTGCTGAATCTTGCAAGGCTAGCATAATTTCTTCATATGATCTTTATATTATGCATAAGGTTATCATTTCAGTTGGATAAAAAAAGTGAAAATTAGCCAGTGTCAGCTGGGCGAGTGACTTCCAGCTTCGAAACTTGTGTTACGTGAAAAAAAAAGTACTGTGTGCCTGGTATCTTAATTTTAACCCTAAACTAGCATCCACATTAAGAACAAGCTGACTGATAAAAATCACAAAGTGAGGCTGATGGAAAAACGAAGGCTTTGTTATAAACTTTCTTCTTTTTCAGTACCTTCCACTAGAAATGTTTTCCTCCTGCAAATTAGTTTTTGACACTTTGTTGGGCTATTTCCTGAAACAGGGTAAAAATATTTCTTGTTATAGATGACACCAAAAAGTGAAAGTTTTGGCCAGTCGGGTATTGACCTCACCAAAAGCTACCTGCTTGGTATTTCTTGGATTAATTACCACAATTTCTGTGCAACTTGCTTCTCCCCAATCCTTGTGCAATGTGGAAACTCCTAGAGAATTTGTGCTGCTAACATCAGCGGTGGCTTTGCAATGAGAAAATGCACCAACGCTGTCCCCGTCCTGGGGGAGCTGGAGGGAGCGGCCTGGATTCGCACCATTGACTCCAGTTCAGCAAACTAAACTCTGTCCAGTGCTTCCAGGAGCGTTACTGGGCTGTGTTATTAGTTTATTTCTCTCTCTTCTCCAGCAGATCCCTACGTCAAGGTGAATGTTTATTACGGAAGAAAGCGCATAGCAAAGAAGAAGACTCACGTGAAGAAGTGCACTTTGAATCCTGTCTTCAACGAATCCTTCATTTACGATATTCCTGTCGACCTCCTTCCTGACATCAGCATTGAGTTTCTAGTTATCGATTTTGACCGTACCACAAAGAACGAAGTGGTGGGACGGCTGATTCTGGGAGCACACAGCATCACCGCGGGTGGTGTGGAACACTGGCGAGAGGTGTGTGAGAATCCTAGAAAGCCAGTTGCCAAATGGCACAGCCTGAGCGAATACTAGCAGAGGTTGCGGCAGCAACAACCGATTTGTAGAACAGACTTAAACCTTGTTGTAGCTGTAGAACTAAACTTTCGTAAGAAGCAGCAGCTGATTGGTTCTCTAGTGATGTGATTTTGCAGGGCACTAAAATTCTAAAGAGCATTAAGTGAAAAAAATAATTACCACGACTATATATAACAGTGTAATCACGCTATTGCATGCCTAATACAAACTGAAATGAGTGTAACTACCACTATCAAGTTGCAGATTTTAATACAATTATCTGTCACTTTGGAAGTTGTGTTTGTGCCGAACTGTCTTTGCTGGTATTCACCAAGATTGGCCTGTCTTTATTAGGCTTCTCCCAAAGTTTCTGAATTCTGCTGTTTAACCTCTAGTTTCTTGTTAGTTTGCTTGCCCATTGGTTCTTGCAGTTCTGTTCTTTGCTGGTTCGGGAGTACCAACCGCATCTCCATGTAAAGGTGGTTTTGAATTCTGCACTAGCGTAAAAGGAAAATACAGGGGAAAATGGCACTTTGCTTCAGAGAATAAATGATTCTGTTGTCAGGTACTGAAACACTTGCTGATGCAAGGTACTTGTTGTGGAGCTATGAGGTCACAACGTCAAAGATTTGCATCTAAAATTCAAACAAACTGATCACGTTGCCTTGGCCTTGTGGAAGTTAGCGCAGGCGTGAGGTCTCACAGACTGTCAGAATTGGGGAAACTCCGCTCTATTTCATTTTCTTTAACCCTGTCTGTGCACGAAGGGCCTAAGACAAAACCAAAAACTGTCGTGTCATTGATTGGTAAAGAAACTGTGACTGATTCTTTTAAACATTAAATGGGAAGTTTTACATGACTGATAAGTTCTGTTATCATGGCATAATGTATCTGATAGGAAACTATCTTGAGGGAAGAGGCTTTAAGTGAAAAATTACAAAGCTTCCCTTCATTCATACTTGAATCAATTTGCATTGTACATGATCATGTAGTTACCCAAGAACCAGCTCTCGAAAAAGGAGTAAACGTAGGACAAAGCCTGTCACTGCAAAATGTGTCAAACTCCAGTAAGTTAATTTGCAGAGTTTCAAGGCAGCTTGAGTTAGTTCTTAAATGGTGAATGACTTCTGGGACTTAGGATATGTTTACCATCACCTCTGAAGTGTAAAAATGGTACTTGACAAGCGTGACCTGCAGCACTTCAGGCTATTAACCCTGAATAGTCAGTAGTTTTGAACAGAAGTTCATAAAGTTCCACAAATAGAAGTTTGGAAGTAGCTGCATTAGATCTCATGGCAAACCACTCGCTTATGAACTGATTTTGTACAAGACAGTAGCATCCTGGCAAATAACTTGATTTGGCTTCTTATTACATTCAAGCCAGGAAAGATCTAAGGATGATAATTGGCAGCAAATAATTGATGGTAAACATAGTTGGTAAACTGAGCGGAAATAGTTCTAACAGACTGTGGAAATGATAATTATTTCTGAACTCTACAATGGAAATCCGAAGCAGAAGTGAGCTTGCAAAGAGGCATGCAGAAGATGCAAATTTTCTGTAAATGTTTAGTTGCTTCCAGGCAGCCAGTCTGTTCTCTGCCCTGTGGAATGTAAATAATGTATTATAATTTTAAAAAAAAAAAAAAATTAAGATCATTTAACTACTTACAGGACTTGACTACTGAATTTTAGAGCCCTGTTGGAAAAAATGATCCTTTCCACCTTCGTACTCATGAAAGTAGAATAACTGAGCAAGTCTTACTGGGTTTCCTCTCCAGCCACCATGTAAAGCAACAGCTGCTGGGAGGGCTCTTCGTGCGAACAGTCAGCACTTTGTTAGTTGGCAATACTTTGGCATCTCTTCCTAAGAAGTTATTTTTGGAAAGCTGAATTTTTTCACTCGTAGCTAGTTACTCAGTGAAATTTCCTTCCAGGCAGAGTGTCTCTTAAGCAACAGAAGTCGCATTGAAGCTGAAGCTCTTTATTTCTCAGCCTTGCACAGCAGACGGAAGCGTGGACTTTGTTCATGCTTTATCGATCCCGATTACGAGGATTTCTGCCCGAGGTTATGGTAGATTCTAGCTCATGCTCTATTAGTGGCTCACAGCCTCAAACCAGAGAACGAGCTCTCCCTTGGAAATTGGTGTAGCTCTATTTCAATCCTAGTTTTTGCACTAAGCAATTGTGTTGCTGCAGTTTAGCAACTGTCACGACTTCTCCTCGGAACATGCTTTCCAACACCGCTCCAAACATCCGTGTAGGACGTACTAACAACAACAAAGTTCCCCTTTTTCCCTTCGGTGTGAAAAGCATGCTTAAGCCTAGATGATCTCCTTAAGATTCCTTTAGTTGAAAAGGAAAGATGAACTTCTTGTCAAGGAAACATGCTCAGGGTAAATAGACTTAGGCTATCGGGCAGGTAGGAGTAGCTCCAACACTCTTCTGGAATAACAGGAAACTGAAGATGTGCAGATATATATTTTTTAAAACGTAAATTGGACAGTAAGTGACAGCGGACTCACTGTAAAATCTCCCAGGTGTGGTTATTCTTTACCTTGTGTCTTCTATTGTAAAATTAACTTGGACAGTTACAACTTTGTGTGAAAAAAAGAAAAAAAGGCAAAAAAACCTAACTCAACCTGTGTGAAACTGCATAATGCTATAAGCTAATCTACATTATGTAATGCTATCTTGTATGTTGAATTTGTTAACGCACATTGAGCGTGCAAATAAAAATTAAATCACTTTAGCTGCATTGTGCCATGTTTGATCATAGGCAACACATAGGACATACTGACTATACTGAATACCTGAAGAATTTGTTTCTAAAAACATGCAGTTCTGCTATGACAATTCACAGGAAAAACACACGCAAAATAAATCTCAAAGAAATAAAGGAATGTAACAGAATCCTGGTAAATTAAGTCTAACACTATTACTTAAGTGTTAGCACATACAAAAAATCTCAGCAATCTACACAGCACTGTAATTTGGTATAATTTGGCATGAATGGATATTCATTAGCTAAGTTGAATCTAAGTGAAAAAACAAGACATGAGATGGGCAGAAAAAGAAG